AGTTTTCTTCACCACACTTGCCTGTTCACCCGCTTTGTCTTCAGTGGTTGTGTTGGGAAGGTGAGCATCATAGAATGCCAATTCAACAGAAGAAAGTATTCTTGTGTTGAGGGAGTACTTGAGTGGAGGCCCAATGTCCTTCTGTCACCTTAATACTAAACCTATAAATATAGGCTCATAGATCTATATATTGTTCAGCTTTTGCATGTATATGAAATGGGTTGGGTCATATGGATCTTAGTCTTCAAAGTGACATATTTGCTTTATAAGACTTGAAAGAGACCCATTTGCAGCATATTTGCCAAATGCACTATGTCGTTGGGTTTCCTGGCAGCTGCTTCCAGGGGTGTAGCTAGTGGATCCAAGTAAAACCAATCCTTGACAAGTTCAAACTGTTCTCCATTTCCTGTGATACTGCTCAGTGGTCCATGTGTGAGGAGTTTGGCTTTCTTTATGCTGAGGTGCTTTCTTTCTGCATAAAAGACTGTCTTCTTTGTTCTTCGTCTTTAAGTGGATTAAGTCCTCTATACTTTCAATAAGCCAGCTTGCTCCATATTGCACGTTTTTAGTCTTCCAGGAGTCTAAATGCTACATTCTTCTTCCTATTACACTTTTCTTAGGAGTATTTGATTGGTGTGCAGGTTGAATAAGTATAATTAAAGAAAATTACCCTGATGCACACCTTTCCTGATTTTAAATGATGCATTGTCTTTAAAAAAAACCTGCCTTTTGATATCTGTACATGAACAAGTTTTACATGTATATAAATAAGTGCTCTGGAAATCCTAGTCTTCACAATGTTTTCCATAATTTGTTAGGACCAACACTGTGCTTTTTTTCTAATCAATGAAATGCTGGTAAACATCTGTGATAATCTATGCCTTCTGCAAGATTCCTCTGATTTTAGCAATGGCATCTCTCAGTCAGTGTCTTCTCCTAAATCTAGCTTGAGCTTCTGGCAGTTCCAGTCCATGTGCTGCTCTAATGGTTTGTGAACGTTCTTGAGCAAACGTAATCTGCCTGTGTTATTAATAATAGTGATACATGGTTTCCACCGTTTCTTGGTTCACCTCTCTTTGGAAAGGGCATAAACGTGGATCTTTTAGATGTTGGCGAGTAGCTATCTTCCAGATTTCTTGGTAGAGGCAAGTAAGCCACTGCGGTGCTACAGGCATTTGTTGAGATATTTCATTGGTGTTCAATTTCTGGAACCTTGTTTTTCACCAATGCGGTCGTTGAACTTTGGAATTCTTCCTTCAATATCACTGGTTCATGATTATGTGCTATGTCCTTCCTGGTCGAGTGTTGACCAATTCATTTTCCTACAGTGACTCCTGAATCAGTGTATTCACTGGATCTTCTTTCCAGCTTCTTGGACCATTCAGTGCTTTACCCAGAGCATCCTTCAATGTAACAACTTGAGGCTTGACTTTTCACTTCAGTCCTTTCAGCTTGAAATGTGCTATGTTTTCTAAGTCTGCACATCTCATTTTAATACTTTTCTCTAATCTTCTCATGCAACCCTTTTAAACCCTCAGTTAAGCACCTTTAGTTCATCATTTCTCCCTTTTGCTCTAGCCACTCTACATTAAAGAACAAGTTTTAAAGTCTGTTCTGACATCCGTTTGGGTCTTTTCTTCCTTCCTTTCTTTTTAAAAAAAATACTTTTATTGGTGGCTCCTACATCTCTTATCACAGCCCATACAGTCCTCCAATGTGTGAAGTACATTTACACATATGCCGCCATCATCATTTTCAAA